ACAGGTTTCCTGGATCTAATTTTCGGTAAAGATTAGGCTCTCTTTACTTTAAGTTCCTTTTATTTTATTCTGTATTTTCGGATCAACTATGTAATCTAATTAAGGAAGCTTAATTCTTTTGAAGAAATTCCTATCCTCAAACAAATGAGGAGAGTAAATTTCCTTTTTTTGACCAAAAATTCGCTCGGAACATATCACAGAAGTATTTCATTTAAAAAGGGAATCGTTAATATTTATTTTTTCACTCTACGTAGTCAATTTTAAGACACTGTCAAATTAATTAAACACAAAGAACAGAGTGTTTTTCTAAAAAANACTAGGAGTGGACGAGCTGTTAGAAAACCTGACAAACTATCTTTATAAAAACTCCATAGTGATTTAGAACTTTAATTTTTATTTCAAATTCTTGTAAAGTGTCATTTTAACATAATATATCTTTAAGCTATGTAAGTTAGCTTTGTTAATGTTGTTAACTTAGGTGGGAGGATGTGAAATATTATGTGCTTATGCGCATCCTTTTTTTTGTTCAATAATTTATTATGTATTAGCTTATAGATGGTAACGAGAAGAGTTTTGTGGTTGCTATGATGACTATTTAGAATGTAAATAATAGTTTTTTTGACTAAGAGATTTGTTTTTTTTTTTTTAAACGGCGATGCTATAATTTTGTTGTTGAGTAAATAAATCTTCCTTTTATTAAACATAATAGTAGAGTTTTCTTAATTATTTGATTCGAAGTCTTTTGAGTTTTATTTGAGGTCATCTTTTTATTTTGTATTTTTTGATGGTGTGCTTTCGGATCATCCTCAGGGATGTTTCCCAGACCGTCGCCAATAGCACATTGTGCAGCTCTAGTGCGACGTAAATGAACAACAACAACTACAATATATTTTTGTTTGAGTTTAAAACCGATTACACTGTATGACCGTAGATGCAGGGAAAAGTGTTCCTGGTCATACAGGTTTCCTGGATATAATTTTTGGTAAAGATTAGGCTCTCTTTACTTTAAGTTCCTTTTATTTTATTCTATATTTTCGGATCAACTATGTAATCTAAATGACCGAAGCTTAATTCTTTTGAAGAAATTTTATCCTCAAACAAATGAGAGAAAATTTCCTTTTTTTGACCAAAAATTCGCTCGGAACATTTCACAGAAGTATTTCACTTAAAAAGGGAATCTTTAATATTTATTTTTTCAGTCTACGTAGTCAATTTTAAGACACTGTCAAATTAATTAAACACAAGGAACAGAGTGTTTTTCTAAAAACAATATTTGATGAAGTTTAACTTCAACAGAAAATTAACAAAGCTTTTGCTGCAGTCAAAGCAACTATATTTATATTTAAACAAATATTATTATATAACTTGTACAATATTTTTTTTCGTTTAAAAATTATGAAAATTTAAAGGATAAAACCTGAAAGTTGAATACTTAAGTGCAATCAATCATATATTTTTCTCAAAATAAAAATTTAAAAATACTGCTTTATTTGAACTCTAATATCCCCAAACTATTTGACCGATTGCATTCATATTTTATCAGTTAAAATTACCTAATTTTTAACGAATTGAAAATCTGTATATTTAAGCAAATTTTTATTTATCGTAGATTATTCAATTATTAAAAAAAATAACAAAAAATTGCATTCTGCATAAAAGTCATCAGATAAATGAATTTTTCAGTTCTCTTAATTTTTTAAAATTAAGAAAAATTTTTAAAATTAATTAAAATTAACTAAAATTAAGAGAATTAATTTGCAATTTTTTTTTAATTCTCTTAAGAAGATAGAGTGATGATACTCAAAAAGTAAAATTAACTTTATGGTTGTTTTTCGAAAGCTTCGCCGTCATCCTTATTGAAGTGAAGCTTCTTTGCGGATAATATGCTATTTTCATAACTGCTGTGAGTTTACAACAGTTACTCATGACTGTTAGGACAAGTTAAACCTATCTAAAGGTAGCGCTTTCTATGCTCATTCTGAAAATGGCACAAGACTGATAATATGGAGAAACGCAACAGTTTTGTAAACATGGAAAGCTTTTTGTGGTCCAATTTTTATAAAATTTAAAAACTTACTCCATTGCAGAACTATCTGAACTCATAAAAATTTGCATAAACGGAGAATAAGACAGTGAGATTTTGATAATTTTCATCTAGATGGAAAAATATCGCCAAATTGGGGATTTTTAAAAAAGCTTAATAATTTTTAAAATATTATAAATAAGTTATTTGTCTATTCTAATGTCTAGATAATTCTTCATAGACAGATGATATATATATATTTTGAAATCATTGTTTCGTTTCGAGTGCAAGGCACTTAAAGTGTGGCTTTTTTACTTTCCTTGGCGACAGAGCTTCGAAAGACCATGCTATAAGCCGACCAAACTTTCGACCGCTCTCCTGCATACGTTAAGGGGACACAGGACGTTCAAAACAAAACAAAATGCAATTTTTACTGGATCATTTCCAAACTTTAACGAAATATTGGTAGCATTAATAAAAGTCAGTGTACAATATTTTTGAAAAAGTGATAACTGGCTTTAAAGTTATAGCCAAAAGTATGTTTTTCAATTGTTGGTAAATAAAAAATTCCTTTTGAACGAATTTTATTTTTCAAATTACATTTTGACCCGAATGCATTGTTTATGGCAACCGTGTAAAAAAATAACGTAACTAGGCATTAAAATTTTGCTTTGTCACCAAAAAAATTTTTTTTTTTTGCTTTGATTAGAATATCTTTTTTAATAAAATTCGTATTAGACATGATCTATGGCCAGGAAAAGTTAATTCAGCAATAAAAATAATTTAAACATGTTACAAAATTTAGTCAAATATACTTATTGTTTTTTTAAATATAATTTCTCGAAACTTCTTGAGACTTGATTCATCATTACCCTTCTTTTTTGAGTGCGGCTCAAAATAACAAGTTTATGGTTAAAATTTGAATATGTTTGACGGCTTAAAGCTGGGAGTAAAATATTGTAGTAATTGTAATATTGCATCATGTTTTGTAGATTGTATTATAAATATTGTAATATATAAATATTGAATACTATTTTACTACTTTTATCTCTTTAATTTAAAAAATAGGAATAAAGGAATAATAAAAATAGTCTATAGAATATTTTTCTATGGACTAACAATGAAAAAAACTTTTGGGAATTTTTGAGGGCTGTTTAGAAAAAAGGAAGACGAAGCATGTGCTTTATCTCCATTCAATTTTGAAAAAATAAGCTTTTTTCTTTCTTTTTTCTCTTCTTCTTTTCTTTCGGAAGTTAAATGATAAATACTAGATAAATCTTTGTTTCTATTTAAAAACACAAATACCACAGAACAATTATCTTTTAACATTTATTTAATAAAAAAAAATTTATACAAATACATCTATTTTCTTTTTGAAAAACATCGAATCCTATATCATACTCAGTTAAATTCTACAAATTGTTGTTAATTTCAATCCTTGCTCTTAGGTTGAAGTTGAACTGACTCCTAAATAGAAAATAGTAGAAAAGTTAATAAATTCATAACTTAAGCAACCAAACATCAAATTGATTTCAAATGATGAGCTTAGAGGCAAAAACTTTTCAATGGCATTTTATCAATTGCCATTGACAGTAATAAGCTTTGACGCTAATAAAAGCCATCTTTAAAATGTATAGAAACATCAAGAAGTGTTTACTAAGCATTTTTCCCTCTGAAAATCAATTTGTGCATAAACTTACCTGAAGTACACTAAACTTGTATGTGATTTTAACATTGTTGTTGGGATAGTATTGTTACTTCATTGAGCATTACTGAATTAGCAAAATTAAGTTTCGGACGTGTGTTGGTAACAAGTCTTTTTTTTTTTCTTTTTTTTTTACAGAGAACGTAAGTGACATTATTCTGTGTGCATGTCATTACTGAATTTGTGTAAAAGGCATGTATTGTTGAAAGTAGTGATCGCTTCACTATGTCATTTCAATNTTGAATAGTGAAGTTCCGAAAACTTTTCACTGTCGAAAATTCTAAACCTGTACATTTCAATATTAATTTGAAATTGCAATTGTCAATTTGGGCATTTGGCGATACAACACTTATAGAATTGAAGGATTTGTTACGTCAAGCGCTCAGGTATCATAATTTTGATCTAGATGCGCTTCTATGTCATTTTAATTTGTGTTGCTAAGTTAGCTTTCAAAAAATTCTATGGCTGGCAATAGCATTTTTATTTTTTAAGTTGTTTATTTTTATTTCTTTTAGAATTCGTTCTTTTTTTAGCGAAATGTTTTTTAACCTAACAGAATTCTTTGCCGACTGTTTTCTCTGCAAATGAAGAAAATAAAGTAAATATTTAAGTGTTGTGAAAAGAATCTTATTTAGTTGTACAAAGTACTTCAGAAAGTGCTTTCGACGAAATACTAAAATAGAGATCTACTACTCACTTTTGCCTAGCTTAATAGTATGAGATTGCCGCAGCTAAATTGAACAACCTGATAATGCTCACTCTGGTTATTGATTCCGTTTTTAAAAGCGCTATATGTTGAGCCATCTCATCTGGATTTGCCATGTGACATTTTTAGCAGCAATCATTGGTCAATTTTCTAACGTTGCCATTCGGGGAGTTGTAATGAGGCTTTTTTTTGGTGCCGTGTAAGAGAAATATATATATAGATGTTTTGTAGATTGTATTATAAATATCGTAATATATAAATATTGAACACTATTTGACTAATTTTATCTCTTTAATTTAAAAAATAGGAATAAAGGAATAATAAAAATAGTCTATGGAATATTTTTCTATGGACTAACAATGAAAACAACTTTTGGGAATTTTTGAGGGCTGTTTAGAAGCTGTTTTAGAAAAAAGGAAGACGAAGCATGTGCTATATCTCCATTCAATTTTGAAAAAATAAGTTTCTTTTTTCTTTCTCTTTTCTCTTCTTCTTTTCTTTCGGAAGTTAAATGATGAATACTAGATAAATCTTTGTTTCTATTTAAAAACACAAATACCACAGAACAATTTTCTTTTAACATTTATTTTAAAAAAATAATTTATAAAAATACAGCTATTTTCTTTTTGAAAAACATCGAATCCTAAGTCATACTCAGTTGAATTCTACAAATTGCTGTTAATTTCAATCCTTGCTCTTAGGTTTAAGTTGAGCTGACTCCTATAAATAGAAAATAGTAGAAAAGTTAATAAATTCATAACTTAAGCAACCAAGCATCAAATTAATTTCAAATGATGAGATTAGAGGCAAAAACTTTTCAATGACATTTTATCAATTGCCATTGATAGTAATAAGTTTTAACGCTAATAAAAGCCATCTTTAAAATGTATAGAAACATCAGGAATTGTTTACTAAGCATTTTTCCCTCTGAAAATCAATTTGTGCATAAACTTACCTGAAGTACACTAAATTTGTATGTGATTTTAACATTGTTGTTGGGATAGTATTGTTACTTCTTTGAGCATTACTGAATTAGCAAAATTAAGTTTCGGACGTGTGTTGGTAACAAGTCTTTTTTTTTTACAGAGAACGTAAGTGACATTGTTCTGTGTGCATGTCATTACTGAATTTGTGTAAAAGGCATGTATTGTTGAAAGTAGTGATCGCTTCACTATGTCATTTCAATAATTTACGTCACTATGTCGTGTTTGGATGATGCATGATGCCACCCTAATATGTTTATGCTGTATTATAAGTAAATATTTTGTTTTAGTTGTTTGCTGTACCGAGACAGGACTGTATTTAAAAGAAATATTTAAAACTGCAAGTTTCATCATATGAATTGCTACATTCACTTACCTAACAATTGTCTTAAGTATGAACTTACACTCTTAAGTTTCACTTAAAATATTCGGTAACTAAGTTCTTCAAAATTATACATCATTTTTTTTGTAACTTTTGTGATTAATTTGCTTTAAACAACTAAACTTGCATTGGTAGTATTTTTATTCAGTGAAGTAACATAAAGAGATGTTTGTAACATTTGAGCCGTGATTGTAATGTGGCAAAACACTGAATTGTCATTGTAATAAAGACTGGGGCTCTATTCCTCGTAGGTGCTTGTTGCCCTCTCTGCTTCAGACCAGAGCTTTAATTTGTCTTGAAAGTAAAGATAATGCGCAATACTGATCACATTGTCACCGTGACGCTGTTGATCTTGCAATTGGGGAAAACCTCTGGCCTTCGAGGAGCAGTTGCGAGAGTGCTTGTATATTTCAGTCACAACTGGAAAAGTAAATCTGTGCTCGCTCCAGATGTGAATATTTTATGTCGGTAAAATTTGTATCGACCAGTAATTTCTGGGGATTCGAACCTGGGTCGCTTCTTTGGGAAGCATGTGGTCTGCCCCTGAGACACTGCAGCTCAAATGGTTTATTGGGTTTATGGTTCATGGTTTTTGATAATGATAATTTCGCTTCAATTTTGCATCAATTTGACAGTAAAATCAAATCGCAGTTCCGCTTATACGATTTTCAGAACCATAAGGTAATTGCTAAAATAAAAAAGTAAGTATAGAATATTATCATAAAATAAATGTGGAAAAGATAAAGTAATAATAAACTGGGTGACAAAAACTGGAATTTCAAATGAACTTTTTAATCCGTTTGTGATTAGGATGGAAAAAGGATAAAAAACACCGTTTTGTCAAGAAAACGGCTTTAAACCGTCAAATATAAGGAAAAAAATCCGAAAACACAACAATATGTATATCTAAAATTGTGGTCTTTTTTGTGACGATGGCTCTAAGACTTTTAAATAAATGGGTAGTATTTAGTTTGCACTAAAACAGATTGTTTTCGCTTTTGACAGAAGGATGTTTCAAGCACACATACGCCTCGTCGTGGGTTTTTCAAACATACGTACCTTTAATCCAGCGCCTTTTGTTTCTGGTAAGAATGCTACTGCGACAGCACATACGAAAAGAAGAGCTGCAAGAGTACTAATAACAGGAATCGGGTTGCTTGCTATTAGAACCTGAAATTAAATTAGCTTATATAATAGCAATTTATACCAGCAGTAAAATCTCATTTAAAGATCACTTGATGATGAATGATTTACGGAGTAGGTGTGAGTCATTGTACCTATACTAGCATGCAAAGTTTCTTGACAATGACGTCACGGCTGGCGGAGGAAGAAGGAGAAATAAGTTCAGTCGTTATATAGAAGAAATATAACTAAATAAAGATACCATTCCGCGATGCGCCGCTCGTAAATTTGAAAATATATAAAATTTTAAGAAAATTATAGCAAATTAACGCTATATATGTGTGGGTTAAGATAACTTATCATATTTCTATTGTGAAATGCGTAATTTACCTCGAAATACAGACATCGCGCCGGGAACTATTTTCTTCGTTTGCCCTCAGCATATTTCTCCATTGTCAAGAAACATTGCAGTTTAGTCTAGAGTCCCTATGTAAACATAGTTAGAAATTCAAGCTGAGAATCAAAATTTACCTAAACGATACTAAATAAAAAATTTCCCAGTTGTTTTAAGATGAAGTAATCGACAGGATATATATATATATATATATATGTTCAAAATGAAGAATAAAACAGAGAAAATTGAAAGACATATGAAAAAAGGGGGAAATAATAAGTAAAAAAATAACAAACAGTTAAAAAAAAGTAAAAAAATAACAAACAGTTTAAAAAAAAAAGAAGAAGAAAAAGTTGAAATTCTATTTAAAAAACTGGAAAAAAAAGAAAAAAAAAAACAGAAAAAAAAGAAGATATTATCGTGTGGGCCGATGAAAAGATTATATCTTCTTTTTTTTCCAGTTTTTTAAATAAAATTTCAACCCTTTTTTTTTTAAGCTGTTGTTTGTCATTTTTTTAGTTATTATTTCCCCCTTTTTTCATATGTCTTTAATTTTTCTCTGCTTTATTCTTCATTTTGAACTTATCTAATGGGTTCTGTTTACTTGCAGTTTAAGCGCAATAAATGAAACTTATTGTTTTTCTTAACTTTCTTCGTGTTTTCTTGTATTTATTTATTTATTATATATATATATATATATCAAAGCTGACCCGGCAAACGTTGTATTTCCATATGAATTATTTCTAGAGTAT